ACATCATTGTTCATTTTCAAACAATATTTGTTCCCTGTTTTCAGGTGTAGTCCCCATAGAATTTCCTTCACCAATTATGCTCAGTGAAATAAGCCAGAAGGAAAAAAGAAAAATATAGGATGGTTTCACTTATAGCAGGGATATAGGGGAACCAAATATGACATCAGTGTAAAAAAATAACAACAGTACAAAATGGAAAAAAGAAACATACAACTATTAATCAGAGACATCCTTCAGGGAAGGAGGAAGGAGCACAGGGGACTGGGGTGAGGGTGCACTTGTCTTTTTTAACAGCTGTACTAACAGGCCTTTGTCCTGGTTTTACATTCCCAGTTTTAAAAGTGCACAACTCGTTTACTTCACAATTTGTTTTAAAGCACTTGCATTGTGGCAAACACTTTTCCAGGCTTTTAGCATAAAACAATGAAGAAAAGGGAACAGCAGTCTCTGCCCGTTGGCTGAGAAAGAAACACTCAAGGCAGATACTCAAATGCACATGTTAGGAAGTGATATCTGTCAAGGAGAAACCTACCAATCACCGTGGAACCCAGCAAGGTCATGTGAGCCCTCTGCACCACACAGGGAGCTGCATGCTTGTGCGCATGCTAATGGGAAGGCGGGTGCAATGTGTAAGGGTCTGAGAAACATGTGTTCTATGTATGTGTGTTAACATGCAGTGACTTGCAATTTGAAAAAGTGGGTAAAACGAAGTACACTACTATGACATTATTAATCATGATTATTCTCTTTTCGAAAAACTTAGTATAAACATCAATCTTGGGTATTTAAAAGAAACTGATTTTGAATTAAAATTCAAACGACTCTTAATTATCTTAACAGTTTTTTTTAGATTTGAATTTCACTGTAAGGTTTTTAGCTTTTCCCAAGTAAAAAAGCCATAAAGTGAACTGACATTCTAGGGGATTTCATAACAAAAAGCCCACATCTCATTTCACTGTAACAAAGGCCATCACTCACTGGGGACTCCAGCCACACCCTCCAGATCTTCAGCAAAGCTGGCTGTGCTGAAGCAAAATCCCAAATGCAGGAACCATTCAATTTCTCTATGGAGGCGACCCTTTTGAAAGGCAACAGAGGAAAAGGAATTCCATAATATGACACAACCAAATGCAACCAAAGGGAAATTGTTCCTCCAACTCAAAGTCTGTTCCCTAAGCATTTATGGAGAATCAGTTTATCAGACACTACAAACACATGGAGGCGGGCTTACTTCAGGGAATCGCACAACTATATCAGCAACAGCAAAATAGAGTCAAGGAGCATGTGCCTACGCTTGGCGTGAAAGCATGTGACGGACAATGTTTTGTACAGCTTTGTCCAACATCCAGGGGTTTTCTTAAAGAAATATGAATGATTCCACTTTTTTCCTCCTCTGTTGCTGTGGTGTTCCAATAAAATGATTCTCATCCTCTCAAAGGTTTAGGTTGAGTTAACCCATGTGACTATCAAATCATCCAAATAATAACTATCACTACTGAGATGATGAGTAAAATCATCAAGATAAGGATTTTAAAATACCCTGAGTGGAAAGAAAATTAATATATTTCTATTTTTTTCTCTCCAAGACAATAGCAACAACAACAACAATAAAAACAACTATAATCCAGGTGTTAAACTAATGCACAATTCATCCATAACATCCTAAAGCCAACTAAATCTTGAGCCAAGAATCAATTGTAGGCCATGAAAAGCTGTAAAGATTTATTTTTTGTCGTTTATTGAAGAAACAGATATTTGCATGAATGCAAGACGTTCTTAGTAAGTACGCACAATTTTTAAAGAGATGTTACCAGTAGCGGTGACAGTCATTCTCTCTCTTTCTCTCTCATAGGATGGAGAGAGGTGGAGAGGCAGAGAGATTGCAAACTAGATTCCCGAATTTACTAATACATCAAGGTTTTATTTTCTGTTTTTTTTTTTTGCCTTTTTACTGAATTATTTCTTCTTAAGACATATTTTATTCTCTGAGATGGGCAACTGATGAAATCATACAAATACATGAACAAACCTGGCCCCTCTCCCTCATTTTCTATCTTCTCCCCATATTAATTGTCTCTCTAATGCAGTCTTTCAAAATGTTATTCAAATAACAGGCTACCAGATAATATTCCCTGTAAAAGTGCACCTGCATCCTTCATCTTCTCTGATGGAAATTCTGTGTGAGCAAACGCCTTAGCTAGGAGGCCAAGAGTCAAAGAGGAGGCAAAATATTACGATTTTTTCTGATTTTTGAACAAGAAATACCATCCATTTCCTACATTATTTGTGCTGTTAAAGTGAAGGTCATATCACTACTGGAAGATAAAATAACTTTAAAAGCAGGGCCTCCCCTGGTGGCACAGCGGCCTCCCCTGGTGGCAAAGCTGCCCGCAGCCTCTGCAGCACCGGTTCCATCCCAGGTATGAAACTGGCCAAAAAGAAAGGGGATAAAAAGGGCATTGGAGGGAAAGCAATTTGGATAATAAGGTTCTCTAACCCTTTCTGAAACACTTCGTTACTTTAGTTCAGTATGCCTAGCCACAGAAGCAAAAAAAATGACATACGTAACATCAGATAGGGTTTGAGAGATTTCTATTCTACCCTCATTTGTCAAAGTGAAAAATGAAGCCCTTCAGTGTTCACATAATGTCACATAAATGGAAGCATTAATTTCAAAATCCTGATCTCACATGTAGTTTATTCTCCAACAGTCTGAAATTAATTTGAAAAAATAACCCACAAATTTCAATTAAAGACACTTGTGCAATGATTTATCAACAACACAAGTGATCTCTCATTGCCACAGTGGGTTTCTGCAAAAACAGAAACCAACTACTGGCTAGAACACTTTCAGATTATATCCATGACCTATGTTTTTATACTAGCTCACTTTAAAAAACATCTATTTCCATTTTAGTGGAATTATTTATTCTCATCTTATACAGAAAGATAAGTATCAAGGTTTATTTTCCATAGCATATTATAAATAATGTTTATTTTGCTAGAAAAATAAGACATTTTTTCACAAATGCCATTCCTTCTTGAAAGAGGTATTAAAGGTGTTCAACGACTGCAGTGAGCATCTGACAACTCACTACTAAGTATGGAAGAAAAGTTTGGAACAGATTAGATCCACATACCTTTGAGGGAGGGGAAAGAAGAAAAAGAAATCACTTAAAAGACTGTGGTGTGGTGGAAGCACCTCAATCAAATCAACACTGTACTTCGAGTTCATCTTCAAAAGTCCTCTCGCAGAGCCTTCCTAGGCAGTGATCCACCCAATACATTTAGAAAAAGTGCCCTGCCATTTATTGGGTTGAATCACATGAAATGATTTCATCTTGACTTCAGATTTAGCAATAAGATATGCCTTAACCGAAATGAGAGTCACATCTCAAGAAACAAAGAAAGGTCACAAGGCAATGGAGTTCTTATTGAGATAATACCAGTATTTACCTTTTAAACCGTCAAAACGAATGGTGATCATTCTATCTAGCCCTTCTTTGTCCCTCCTACCCTCCTCTGCCCCCCCACACCCTCTACTTTCCCTAACCCAGTGTCCCATGACTGCAATCCTTGTTGAACACAAATCCTTCACTCCGGTGCAAAGGACATTAAAGAAGAAAAAATATGAAAATAGATTACCATACTTAAAAAATATATAAAACTTCAGAACATATTAGAGATTAAGATTTCAAAACCTTAAGTCTCTAAAAATCCTTAACTAGGAAGCGATTAAGAAAGTGACTTGACATATAAGCGTATCAGGAGCGAAAACAGGAAATATGGTGAGGATAAATTCACCCGGGGAACTGCTCCACAGACCTGGACGAAATCAGGACGCTCTTCCTACACCGCGAGCTCCATGTCTCCGCCACACACTCAAGTCTAACTATTGTCAGTATCACTCCCCTCGCGCCTAGAAAGAAAAAACAACACTCTGTTATCTTCTGTGCTGCGGCAGAATGGAACCATCATTTGTCAAGGTGGCTCACAGCTTCAGCAAAACTATGTCAGAGCACAGGGAGTGAGTCAAGCAGCTGGAAGACCAAAGAGATCTTTCAGGGCTGACTCATGAAACACGACAGCAGCAGCCGGGGCGGGCGTTGCAGCGCGGCCAGGACGGCGACCTGCGGCGTCACGAGACTTCCCTGCGCGTCACGTCCTTAGAGAAAGTCCAACCTGAATCCCGAAGTGATAAAGTCCCGACTCCAGCTCGCCGGGGCACGAGCGGCCTGAGCCCAGGGCCGCGGCCTCGCCCAGGCGAGCCTCGGGACCAGCGCGGCCCGGGCGCCCAGGCCTCGCGCGGCGGGCGGCAGCCGCGGGGCGCTCTCGCCACGACGGGGGGAGCAAGACCCACCACTCGGGCCGGCGCAGGCCGGCGGGGGCTGCGGGCGCGGGGCGGGCAGGGCGGGCAGCGAGGCCGCGGGAGCCGGGGCCGCCGGGCCGCGAGGCGGAGGGGCCCGCGGCGCACAAGCGGGGACCCCGCGCGGCCACTCGGGGCGCGTTGTTGACGGTTCCCGGCCGGCCCGGGAGACGCTGCCACGGCGGCCCCGTCCGCCGCCCCCGTGACGACCGCGGGGCCGCCTCACCTGGACTTGCCGACGCTGCTCTCGCCGATGATGAGGACCTTCAGGGCGGGCAGCACGTCCTCGTCCATCCTGACGCTGCTCCGCTCCAGCCCAGCTGGCCGCCCGGTCCGGCTCTCACCCCTTCACCCCGAGAACTGCCCGCGCATGCGCACCGCTCCGCGCTGCCACCACCTTTTCACACCGGGTGTGTCGGTCCCTGGAGCCGCTACAACCCAGTTCCGCCTGGAGGTTGCTCTGCATCTGCGCCAGCCCAGAGTTCCAGGCATCTTCCACAAGCGGTTAGTTCTCTTGTGCACAACCGCAGACCTGGAGGTTGGAAGTGCGTGACCTCACCCGCCTGCGCATTTCCTCCTTCCGGCCCTGGCATCCATAGGCCTCGGTTGTGTGCAGTGGGCAAAGGGGCCGAGTCCGGGGAGTGTAACGCTTTTTCAGTTTAGCTGCTGCTCATAACAGCTGTGCGGCGTCTGGAAGCACTGTGTGGAAAGGCAAATTACGGTAAAAGTAGGTCCCAACTCTACCACATGGTCAGCTAATTTATCTCGCCTTCTGAACCTGTTAGCTCGGCTCAGAAATGGAGGCCATCGTATGTCTTAGAATAATACCAGCTTCTTGGATTGCTATGAAGAGTAAGTGAGATCGTTTATGAACACACTTTGTAAACGCAAGTAAACCATATAAGTGTGACCAGGTATGAATTTCCTGATTTACCCTCCTTTAATGAAGAATTCCCTTCCTACATCTGTACCGCTTGAAAGGGAATTGTAGACTCTATAGATCCGGTGCATAAAAACTTAATGGTGGTGCAATTTCAAACCAGCTATTTCTGTTCATGAAAACTACACAACTAGAGGAATCGTGTACATGTGCTTTCTTTCCTTCACTAAGTTGTAAATCTTATTGAACGTCCCAAATCTCATATGGAAATGAAAGCTAATGGAATGCTTGGTACTTAGCAGACACTGAACAGTTCTTTCATCTTCTTACACTTGCAGCTAATGCCAGATATAATAGATTTGATTACATAAGGAAAAAGGGGAAAATTAAAGATTTTTTTTTAATCTGGGAAAGCTCTTTTGACATATATCCCATTGGTTCCTTCACTTCGTTTGGTCTTTACTCAATGCCTTCCTAAGGAGGCCTGCCTTTGTCCTGTGCACTGCCTTCCAGTCTTCCCTATACCTCTTCACATTTTCTGCACAGAATTTGCCATCCTTACATATACATGATAAATAAATTCTGCTTTATATTCATATATATTTTACTAGTTTATTTGTTCACTGTCTAATCTTCCCCAAAGAGAACAGAAAGAGCCCTGGTGTCTAGTTCCTGGCATATAATGTAAAATTATACTAGATGTTTGATGAGTGAACTGAATGAAAATTCTGGACGCCTTCCCAACTTTGAAAAGTGATATCTTTGAATTCTCAAGATTTTATCAGAAATCTTAGATTTTATCAGAAACTTATCTAATAGTTGACATAATAAGTTTTGTCATTTCTAAAATGCCAAATTTGAAACAGTCTACAAACTCAATATGCCACTACTTGCCATAGAATCGTGTTCAATTTGGCCATACTCTCTTGGGAAGGTCTTACTGTTGTCAAAATGATTTTATTCCAAGCCAAAAATATGGATGTTCAAATGTGTTGAATCCCTGAGCTAAACAAACACAACATAGACATACTGATAACATGACAGGGAGGGTGAGATATCAAAAGAATCTACAAAAGCACTAGCAGGAAAATCAGTTACATATATTCAAGTCCAAACAAGGCAAGTATCAGGACTATACTCAGCACCTGTGCCAACAGAAATTTCCTGCTCCTTTTCCTCTTTGTGCCTGCTCCAACCCAGGAAGTATTTTTGCAATATGGAAAGGAGGAAGGCATACTAGACAAATACTATGAGCAAAACTATCTTAAATAAGCTCAGAATGCTAAAGGAGAACACTGACAGGGAACACAATATATGAATGCTATAATAATATACATAGAAAACTTAGGAGGAACAAAACAAATTCTAGAGCTGAAAAGCTAAAAAAACAACCAACAAACACGCACACAATACAAACAAGTGAAACGTAGAGATGCTGACCAGATTTAGCATTGTGCTGGAATTGTTCCCCAGAGTAATTAGTCAAGGAAAAGAATAAAAAGAAACCAAGGAATAGAATAAAAAGAAACCAAGCTGTAAAGGAAGAAATGTAAAAGTATCCTGTTTCACAGGGTACATAATCAAAGATATGAAAATTCCAACATATCCACAAGAAAACTACTAGTTACAAAAAATTCAACAAAGCTACAAGATACAAGAACAACTTACAAAAATCAGCTGTGTTTCTATTTATGTGCAAAAAGGAATTGCAAAAGGAAATTAAGAGAGCAATTCTATTTAAATACCATGTATAAGAAGAAAATACTTAGGAGTACATTTGACCAAGAGGTAAAAGATGTGTACACTGAAAATTATAAACACTGGTGAAAGAAACTAAAGAAAACCTAATTTAATAGAAAGACATCCTTAGTTGATGTGAAGGATTAGTATTGTTAAAATATTAATCACCTAGCAATCTACTGATTCAACACAATTTCTATTGAAATTGCAATTTCCTTTTTTCTTTTTCAGAAATGGAAGAGCCAACCCTCAAATTCACTTGAAATTGCAAGGAGCTCAGGCTATCCAAAGCAATCTCAAAATAGAAGAAAAAGTTGCAAGACTGAGATTTCCAGATTTCAAAACTTACAAAGAGGTACTGTAATGAAAACAATGTGGTACTAGCATGCAAATAACATACAGACTGACAGAATAGAATTGGGAGTCCAGAAATAATCCATAAATATAGCCAGTTGATTGACAAGTGTTGTAAGTCTAGCAAACTGGAAAGTTCTCTTCAATAAATGTTTTTTTTTGAAAACTGGACCTTCACGTACACAAGGATGATGCTGGGACCTTACTAAATACCATAAACGAACTGAAACAGACATTGATCAATAATCTAAATAAAACAGTTAAAACAATAAAACTTGGAAACACAGGGTTAATGTGCATGACCTTGAACTTGTTAATGGACATTTAGATATAATACCAAAAATACAAGTACCAAAAAAAAAATTAGATATGTTGGATTTCATCAAAAAATAATAAAAAAAAATGTTAATCATTACAGGCCATTGTCAAGAAAGTGAAGAGACATGGCCTCCACAGTGTCGCAGAGGTTGAGTGCTGGGTTGCAAAGCTGGCCGCAGCCTCGGCAGCACCGGTTCAATCCCCAGATGCTCCCTGGCCACTGGAGCAGGGTCCCGCATGGCGCACAGACCTCTCCTGCCACCCGCTGCTCCCCTCAGCAGTGTACTTCGGTCCTTCTGCCTGCTCTACTCCCTGTTCTGGCTCTAGTGAATTCTCTTACCGTCCCGCACTTCTGACTGTACCCACTGCTTGTATAAATAAATAAATAAATAAATAAATAAATAAATAAATAAATAGATAGATAGATAGATAGATAAATAAATAAATAAATCAAAGAAAGTGAAACAGTCTATATCGAGGGAGAAAAAAATCAGCTAGTCATATAGCTGGTAATGGTCTTAATAACTGAAATATGCAAAGTGCTAATGAAAAATGCGAGAGAACAGCAAAAGGTCAATCAACCCAATTATAAGAAGGGCACAGGACTTGGATAGACATTTCTCCAAAGAGGATATACAAGAGGCCGATAAACAGTTGAAAAGACAATCAACGTGATCAGATATTTACAGAAATGTGAATCATCACCACAATGAGATACCACTTGACACCAACTAAGAGAGGTAAAATCGATAAAAGGGAAAATAATTGAGTATTGGTTTATAGGGAGACTTGGAAAAACTGGAACCCCTATCTACTGCTGGTGGGATCGAAAATGGTTTAGACTCTGGAATACAATGTGATAGTTCTTCAAATAGCTGACTATGGAATTCTCATGCAACCCACCAATTCCACTTGTAAATGATTCTCTTAACATGAGCACACCAAGCTCCTTGCAATGTTACGATTGTCAATAGAAGGAAAGACTCCATGCCCACAAAAGACCGTGAGTAACCAATTTGTGGAGCACACATACAATGGAGCACAGAGCCATCGAGTGGAATGAAGCTGTCACATGTGCACAAGGAAAAACCCTGGAAACATTATGATAAGTGAAATAAGTCAGTCACAAAAAATGTATGATTCCATTGACATAAAAATCTAAGAAAGTCAAATTCATAGAAAGAATAGAGTCAAGGTTTATCAGGACTGGAGGAGAGAAGAGCAGCAGCAGCCACTGCTCACTGGTCACAGAGTTCCTCCTTCAGGTTATGAAAGATACTGGAAACAGTCACGACAGTACGCAGCCGTGGGATGTGGCGGATGCCACAGAACTGTACACTTAAAGTGGTTAGAATGGCACGTGTTATGTTAAATATCTTACAACAAATATTTTTAAGTTTAAAAAGTAAAACAATTTTTTTTTTATCTGTGGCATGATACAATTGCAGATAATATGATCAGAAAGTATGCCATGTAAAAGAAAGGGACCACTGTCCTAGCACTCGCCTCAAATTCCAGTTTCCTAGAGAGTGATGTAAAGTAGACCACCTGTCGTAAAAATACACGCAGGTAAATAACTTTTAATTCCAATATTTGTGTATGAGTGACAAGATGTATCAAAATATTATAGCTTATTGATTGAAACATGTTACAGTTAGGTAAAATATTAAAATAGTGTGAATTATGATTTTAGAATAAATGATTAAAAAATATCCCCCACCAATCCATGCCATGCTTTCTAAGATTTCTTTCAAAAATCCAATGTTTGGGCCTCCCTTGGTGGCGCAGCAGTTGAATGGTGGGCTGTGAAGCTGTCAGCAGCCTCTGCAGCGCTGGTTAGACCCCAGGCCACCAGTGAGGTTCCCACCTGATGCAACAGACCTCTCCTGCCACACCCACTGCTCCCCTCAGCAGTGTATTTCATCATTCTGCCTGTTCTCTTACCCGCTCTGGCTCTGGTGAATTCTCTGACCCTCCCGGCATCTGACTGTGCCCAGTGCTTGTATAAATAAATAAATATATCTTTTGTTAAAAAAAAATAAGCCAGTGCTTAACATTCATGAGTATATAAATTCTCAATTTTCTCTAATATTGTGTAATCATTAATAACTGTCAAAATTTTGGCTTTTTTAAATGACGAGTAGGTTGCTATCTTTTGCTATATAAATGCAAAGTATAATTTCAGCAAGGCCTGGTATTCAAAACCTTTTCCCAGCAGGTGTCTCTCACCAGGCCTGGACACAAGTATTAGCAGGTTTGTTCTTCATCTGAGGTGCCTGGCAGGATGCTAGAAAATACTTGAGAAATCTGAGCTAGTTGTGTTTATCAAAAACACTAGGGAACATCAGCTTAGGTTTTTTTTTTTTTTTTCCAGTGACACCAAGCAAGTTTTCAGGAGCTCCAGAAACAGCAGAGACGTGTAGTGAGAGCATTCTGACTAGAAAAACGAAAGGAACCCTGAAGATCAATGTCAGCCCTGAACACACCCACCCCTGGGGTGTAGAATGAGTGTTTTCCACTAGAATGCGACCCAGTATCTAGGCTGGCGGCTTCCCTTGGTTTCCCTTGAGGAAAGCTGGCTTAAGCATCAAAGAGAGTGGAGCAGACCTGGTTTTAAGTCAAGGCCTCCGCCAAGTAGCCAGGCGTGCACACATCCCTGGAAAGGTCTTATCCCTCCCACCTTCTCCTCCCTCTAAACCCAGCCCCAGGCACCTGGATTTGTTTATTTTTATTCAAGAACTGGGGTAAAGGCCAGATGTGCGGCAGGTTGAGAGGATTCACTAGAGACAGAGCGGGGAGTGGAACAGGCAGATTGACTGAAATACACTGCTGAGGGGAGCAGCGGGTGAGACAGGAGACGTCTGCCGCGCCATGTGGCCGGGGCCGCAGAAAGCTCCACAGTGTAGCGCTCAACCTGCTGCTCCACTGGGGAGGCCCCACTTTTCATTTTAAAAGTGAAGAGAAATCGAAATACTAATGAAATGTTAGTTATGAAAGTTGAATAGTTAGATTACAATCAAGAAAAGTGGATATTCAGAAGAATAAAAAATATTGCAGATAAAGAGGTGACCACATAGTGACAAAGAGTTTGATTTATGGGACAATCCTAAAATGTGAGGTGATTATAGTCTCAAAATGTTTTTAAAATTACAGAACAGAAGAAAATAATGAAAATTACAATGGATGTGCATAAATTAGAGACTTGATCAATAGAGAAAATCATTGCAATCAAATGACTAAAATAAGAAATGAAAGATTACCATGGATCATTCGGAAATTTAAACAATTGTAAGAAATTATTCTGAAAAATGACATGCCAACAAATTTTGCACAGTGGAAACAGGCAAAAATCTTGGAATAGCAATGGTACCAAGGCCAAATGGACAGACCTCTCTCTAGTAAGGGAATGACTCAGTCAAAGAAAAGCCTCTTTGAGCATGCTTTTTTTTTTTTTTTTTTTTTAAATAGAGGCATGTTTTTATTTTATTTATTTATTTGTTTGTTTGTTTTTTGTTTATACATGCACTGGGTACAGTCAGAAACGCGGGAGGGTGAGAGAATTCACCAGAGCCAGAGCAGGGAGCAGAGCAGGCAGAAGGACCGAAGTACACTGCTGAGGGGAGCAGCGGGCGGCAGGAGAGGTCTGCGCGCCATGTGGGACCCTCCTCCGGTGGCTGGGGAGCAGCCGGGGATCGAACCGGCGCCGCAGAGGCCGCGGGCAGCCTCGCAACCCAGCGCTCAACCGCTGCGCCACCGGGGAGGCCCTTTGAGCATGCTTTTAACTGGGCTTTGGAAAGGCGGGTGATGAACAGTTCCTATTATAAGGATATTTGCCTGGCGTTTTCCCATGGTTGCATTAATAGTAATTGTTTTTTTTTTTTTTTAATTTAAGTTAAAAAAGCATTTTCATAAAATCTCCAGATTATAAGACTACTCTATCCAAGAGTTTATGGGAATATCTTTTACAGTCTCTTAAAGGAGAAATAGATTTTGAATGTTGGTTTTCCATAAAGTCATGGCTGAAAGGGGAGGGGCTGCTGGCCTGTTGCCTTCGGGGCCTGTGGACCTTTGACTTCCCCAGGAGCAAGGCCACCTCCATCCTGGCTGCATTCATGGCGTCCACACTGTGGTCGTCGTTGGGGTCATGGGCTCGCTTCTGTGTGTGCTCACGCCTCTATCTCCCGCCTTCGGTCTCTGCAGGGCGGCAGGGGCATCGCTGGCGTGATGGCCCTTGGCCCCTGGGCCTTCTACGCTTTGCTGGCTGCCTTCGGCCCGCCCCTGCGGAGTCTGCCACTGGCCTGGGCTGGGGCTCCACCCACTCCCAAAGGCCTTGGGAACCTCCTGCCTCGGCCCCTGCCTGCCCGCCCAGGTGACCACCAGCCCCAACTGAGGGCTACTGGTCGTCTGCACGGAGACCTGGCGCACCCAATACGCATGCATACACGTGCTTGCCCGCGGGCACACACAAATACTCACATGCACACACACAGGGCCAGCCCAGGGCAGGCAGCCAGTGCCTTCCATGCTCCAGACGAGAAGGCTGGTTCTGGCTGTACCACTGGGGGGCCATGGGTTTCATTTTTTTGGTTCTGGGGCTGGTAGTGGGCCCTGGTTGTGCCTTTGGCTGGCCACTGTGTGGTTTGTGCTGTGTATTTCATGGGCAAGTTTTGGGGTTGGGCGACTATTTTTGGAGTATCAGGAGTGGGTAGAGTGCTGTGGATTATGGCAGAATATAGGAAGGTGATGGAAACAGCTAGGAAAACAACCCAACTGTTTCAAACACTGATGAATCTACCCATGTTGGGGTTTGCCTTTCATTTGGGTAGAAAGCAGGATGCTTGAATTTAAATGGGTAAATTAATCCTTGGAAACCTGGGCAGGGAAAAAGGGGTGGGTGGCCACAAGTTGATGGTACTCAGGACCAGTCTCGTATCCCAGCGGGCACCTCCCAGGAATGGCCAGAAGTTGATGAATCCCTATAGCAGTTGGTGCAGGCCATATACGAAATAGAAGAGACCTTAGGTAATATAGCGCCTGCGAGGCAGAAGGGGCTGTATGTGGGTGGTTCTCACAGCTCTGTAAGATTCTAGGCACAAAAAGTGATCCAGAATCCAGCAACTGCAGGACTAGAGGCAAGATCTGCAACAGTGTTTGGTGATTCTTGGGTAAGAAGTTCAGAGAAACCAACCCACCGTTATGAAGACGCCAGACTCCTTCTCAGGAGAGGAGGAGAGGGAGTCTGGCCCTTTGTCCGAGTGTCATCCAGTAGTGGCAAACCAAGCTGCCACCCCAGAGTTGCCAGACTCCTCTGGAGAGGAGGAGAAGGCTGGCTCCATGTTCGGGCTCTCCAGGTGTTGTCTCCGAAAATGAAGCAAAGGTGGCCCATGGCCCCGGGGTTCAGGCTTCTGGAACAGCACAAATGACAGAATTTACTGGATACTGACCATACACCCAGGTGGAACTGGTGGACTTGGGCAACAATTCTGCCAGAAAGCAGGGCAACCGTTGGCATCATGGCTGCTACATTTGAGGGACGTGGGGGTGGAATGGATTATTTGTATGGCACAAGAGATGGAGAGACTGGCCTCAGGGAATTACACCCATCCTTGAGACAGAGGCTGCAGAACAGCCTGTGGTATGGCCAAGGCAATCATATCCTGCTGAAATGGATAATGGCTGCCATACGAACAGTATGGGCTGATGCAAGAGATGTGCCAGAGACAGTGAGCAGATGGCAGACGTATGTCGAGCTGGTACATGCACTTTGGGTATTGGGAATGTGGCAGGCCCTGTTCAATGTGAATACTCGTGGTCCCAATGGTGAGCATTTCACAGCAGGGATGAGAGATTCGGTATTAACAAGTGTCCTGTTGTCCTCATTTGGATTCCCTCATGGCAGTTCTTGCACCCTATGTGGAACGTCAAATACACAATGTCACAACAACAATAGCTAGCTTGGGTGAAGTCAAGAGCCAGCACTCTCAAACTCAGAAAGGAATATATATAATTGTTGAACAATCAAGAGGAATGCCAAGGAGGGCAAGAAAGCTTCTTGGCATCACACAACCTGTTAAAGTTACCCGTAATCAAATGTGGACAGATTTAGTGAGAGCAGGTGTAGATAACACTAAAATACATGCAAAGCCCAGTGCATATTTGTTAGAATTATGGAAACAGCTTCAAGAAGACCAGAGGCTCACACTAGTGAGAAGGACTGCTGCTAAGGGGGAGCCTGGAATCTCCAGGCCTCAGGCACGAGCCCTCCAACTAGAAGACCACCTGCTGCCGACCCCATCCTTGGGCGATGTCCTGATCACTTTCGAATAGGTTGAGGGCCAAGGAACCTGTCCTCAGGGGATGGGCAGGGACCGGAGGCCACATGTGGAGCTTAGCATCCTCTGGTTCCCGACTAATGTGCAAAGGGTTTTAGCTCTAGTAGACACAGGAGCAGAATGTACTCTGCTCTGTGGAAATCCAGAAAAATTTCAAGGGTCTTCTTATAAACATTTGATGGCTATGGAGGCCAGAGTGTCAAGGTGACAGCAGTGAGACTATCCCTGGGGATTTGGTGATTACCCCTGAAGGAGGATAAAGTATATGGATCTCCCATCCCAGAGCACATCCTGGGAGTGGATGTACTACGTGGCTTATGGTTAGAGATCACAGTGGAGAATTTCTCCTTAGAGTGTGTGTGATAAAGGCAGTGGTGCGAGGACACGCTAAGCATCCACCCATACAACTGCAAGTCCCTAGGTGAGTGACTAATACCAATCAATCTCGGCTGCCTGGAGGCCACAAGAAAATTATGGGCACAATATCAGAATTAGAGAAAGTGGGCATTGTGCATACTGCCCACAGCCCCTACTATTTGTCGATGTCCGGCAGTCCTGTGGGACCCCACTTAGCAACCTGTCTCTTGGCAAGGCGGCCACAGTCCTGACTGCCTTCAACATCCTCGGTGGTCTGTGCATGGACGGGGACACCCAGGACTCAGATGACATCTCAGCATTTCCTCGAGGCCGAGGTCTCCAGTTTGTTTGGTTTTGTTTTTTAGGTCAAGTCGCATTCCAGCAAAGCAGTTGAGAGAGCAGAAAAGGGGTCTGGTGTGGCATCGACCCCCCATTTGTGTGCTATCTTGGTCAGTGAGGGGAGACTCTTTCCACAAGAGGGCAGCAAGTCACCGTGTCCAGCCTTTGCGAAGCAACAGCTTGGGTGTGTTTTTGTCAGGGGAAGGGGCCTCGGAGGGAGGCAATTGTCATTCCTTGGGACAGAGGCAGCAGACACCGAGATGACACAGTGGGGATGAGGAGGGTCAGCATGGGGTCCATCAGAACAAGTGTGGGTTCCAGACACCCCACTGGTGATGAGGACAGCCCAGCACAGCTGCCTCAGGAACATCCTCAAATGTGTCTCAGTGCAAGTGAACACTTCAGGGAAGCTGAAACAAAGCAATCCAAGAGGTGAAAAAAACCCACACATACTGTCCTGGGACAAAAAAGTAAAGCATAGACCCGTGGGCACTGATATCTCCATGGTCACATCCTGGGGTGGACGGACGGATGGCCAAACAGAGTTTGCCCTTCCCTTGTTCCCAGGAAACTTGTGTGACCACCCCCCCAAAAAAAAAAAAAAAAAAAAACAAAACAAGAATAGATTTAGAGTCAGAAAGCATGAAAAAAGTTTCTTCGGAGGCACCTTCCTGCCCAAATGAGCCTGTGCTTCTCTCAGCCCACCTTGTGCCAAGCCGCTGAGGCGGTGCTCCCCCCTCCCAGGCCACCCACATGTGACTAGGCAGCCCTCGCT